TGGTAATACCCTTCGCCGCCTAGTTGCAAGGGCTGCTGTCAGAAGTATGCGAATGGAAGCAGCCACCATGCTGCAACCCAACCAGCTGGGGTTTGGAGTCCCCTAAGGCTGTGAAGCAGCGGCCCATGCTGCACGAGCCTACATTAGCTCTCTTACTGAAGACCAGACAGTAGTAAAATTAGATTTTAAAAACGCTTTCAACTCGGTTAAAAGGGAAGTAGTCCTCACCGCAGTCCAGGAACATTGCCCAAGCATTCTCCCGTTTGTGTCAGCAGGCTACAGCAAAGACTTAACCCTCCTGTTTGGCAAACACGAAGTCACCTCAGCAGAGGGAATTCAACAGGGAGACCCACTTGTACCCTTCTTCTTTTGCATAGCGGTTCGAGAAATTACAACCAGACTGTCCAGTGAGCTCAACATCTGGTTCCTGGATGATGGCACTCTGGCAGGCACACAAGACTCCCTGCTGGAAGACCTGCAGCTGGTAAAGACTCGGAGGGAGACCATGGGTCTCGTTCTTAACCCTTCCAAGTGCGAAATTATTGCATCCAGTGAGGTAATCATTAGAGCAGTGAAATCAGTTTTACCAGAAGCCTCAGTCATTAAACCCACCGACAGCACACTACTTGGAGCACCTCTGGGCCACAATGCCATTGCTGCAGTCCTTGACGAAAAGTTTAACGACCTAAAGAGGATGGAAGCGAGAATAGGGGACTTGGACTCCCATGATGCCCTCTACCTTCTCACAAAGTGCCTTACCTTGCCCAGGCTAACATACTTCTTAAGGTGTGCACCCACTTTTGGCAACCCACTTCTAAATCAATATGATGAGCTCCTCAGGTCAATATTCAGGAAGGCGCTCAACCTAGATTTAGATGACAGTCAGTGGGACCAAGCAACACTACCAGTGAGATTTGGGGGGATAGGCATACAAAAGGCAACTGAGGTAGCACTTCCATCATTCTTATCCTCATGTACAGCAGCCAACAAATTGGTAGGGCAGATCCTACCAGAGCGTATGAGAGACACAGTGGGAACTCATGACCTAACGTTCATCGAAGCAGCCAGACCATTGCCAATGGACCATTGCCATTGCCAATGGACACCATTGCACACTCTCAACCCCGACCAAAAGCCCCAAAAGACCACAAGCAGGCCCACTGGGATAGCCCCATGATGGAAAAAACTGTCACAGCAATGATTGACAACGCTGATGCTGAAAACAAAGCCCGCCTCCTAGTGGTAACAGCACCCAACGCCTGGGATTTTTTATTTGCTGTGCCCAATGCAGCCCTGGGAACTTGCCTCAATCTTGACGCTCTCCGCATTGGAGTTGCCCTTCGCCTTGCTGCCCCCATCCTCACCAAACATAGGTGCATCTGCAGTACTGCGATGGCAGACCAATATGGTCGTCATGGTCTGGTATGTCGTAAATCACAGGGTAAGATTGCAAGACATGAAGAAGTCAATGACATCATCAAGAGGAGCCTCGCCACAGCCCGCTGCCCGGCACAAAGAGAACCACACTTATTCAGACCTAACGACCCTCAGAAGCGCCCAGATGGGGTCACCTTGCTTCCTTGGAAGGATGGTAAGCAAGTGGTTTGGGACTTCACATGCGCTGCCACACTGGCCAGTACCTACTTCCACTACAGCACACGTGAAAGCGGTGGTGCTACTTCTTTCAGGGAATCGCAGAAAATTATTTAATACAGAGGTCTGGCACACTGCTACAGCTTTGTTCCGATCGGCTCGGAGACCTCCGGTTCGTGGGGAGAATGTGCATTAAAGTTCTTGAAGGAATTGGGGGACGAATTGATCAGCACTAGAAAAGATCATAGAGCAAAAGTTTCTTGTTCCAGCGCCTCAGTGTTGCGATTCAGAGAGGGAATGCCTGTTGCGTCTTGGGCACTAGTCCAACTTCACAGGAATTCGAAGAAGTGTTTGACTTGCAACAATGATCGAACCTGTCCGTGACATTTCATCAATGTTTCCCATTGTCGCGTTTTTCAAGAGACCCATGTATATCTTGTAACCATCAAATACATAATAAAGCACAAAAACGGAAGGGGGTGGTAGGAGAAAAGCACACAGAAACTGTATTGGAGGGGATCTAAACATTCCCTCTCATGCGTTATGCGTGGTTTCCTCCGAGGCTATGGGTCCCCATTCGTCCAGCCAGAGGTGGTACTCCCACACATACACACACACACACACACACACACATCAGAATTAAGAAAGAGAAGGACTGTTTGAGGCTTCAAGAAGAACTAGACAAGCTGAAGGAATGGTCGAACAAATGGTTGTTAGAGTTTAACCCAACCAAATGTAATGTAATGAAGATAGGTGTAGGGAGCAGGAGGCCAGATACAAGGTATCATCTGGGAGAGGAAATTCTTCAGGAGTCAGAGAAAGAAAAAGACTTGGGGGTTAATATCACGCTAGACCTGTCTCCTGCAGCACACATCAAGAAGATAACATCAGCGGCATATGCCAGGCTGGCTAACATATGAACGGCATTCAGAAACTTGTGTAAAGAATCATTCAGAACTTTGTATACCACATATGTCAGGCCGCTCCTGGAGTATGCGGCACCAGCATAGAGTTCATATCTAGTCAAGGATAAGACTAAACTGGAAAAGGTTCAAAGGTTTGCCACCAGACTAGTACCCGAGCTGAGAGGTATGAGCTACGAGGAGACACTACGGGAATTAAACCTCACTTCGCTAGAAGACAGAAGAGTTAGGGGGGCAAGAAACACCACATTCAAGATTCTGAAGGGAATTGACTGGGTAGATAAGGACAGGTTATTTAACACAAGGGGCACACACACTAGGGGACACAGGTGGAAACTGGGTGCCCAAATGAGCCACAGAGATATTAGAAAGAACTTTTTTAGTGTCAGAGTGGTTGACAAATGGAATGCATTAGGAAATGATGTGGTGGAGGTTGACTCCATACACAGTTTCAAGTGTAGATATGATAGAGCCCAATAGGCTCAGGAATCTGTACACCTGTTGATTGACGGTTGAGAGGCAGGACCAAAGAGCCAGAGCTCAACCCCCGCAAGCACAACTAGGTGAGTACACACACACACACATTGATGTTTACTGGCAGCTGGTTATCATTTAGACATGTTTAAATGAATATGACTGTATATTCCGGATTGGTTGTTTTCTTGTTTAGGGAATACTTTGAAACCGTTCATATTCCCACTATTGACACTCGTCCCTCTCTCTGGCTTCGTTATGTTGATGACATTTTTGCTTTATGGCCTCATGACCTCAGTCTTTTCCGTTCATGTTCAGAGCTCTGTGTCCGGGGTCTCTTTCTCTGTCTACCGCAAACCCATGCATAGTGCATGTTCAGTCACTTCTTTTCCTACCATCCTCCTTCTGTTAAGAAAAGTGTCTTCGTCTCTCTTCCTCCGTACTCTACGCATCAGCATCACCTTTCTCTCTCCTTGGTTACCCCCTTACATTTTATCAACTGTGCCTATTCTCCAACCTTTAAACCTGCTTCCACCACTATTATAATGCATTGTCATCTGCCTTCCCTTCATATCTGAACTCAAAACTCTTACTAATACTCTTCGTCCTCTTGACATAAAGCACATAACGTGTATGTCTCTGGAAATGTTTAGTGGCCAGTGTATATCTCTGAACATGACATAAAATAATTACTTAGAAAAATTAAAATGCGAATGAGAATTTAAAAATAAATTCTGTAAATCTAATTAAATATAGTTAAAATCATAAAAAAAAATGATGATAAATAGCAGAAACTAAACGAGATAGATAACACATGACTGGACTGTCCTTCACCGGACTGTCCTTCACCGGACTGTCCTTCACCGGACTGGCCACCACCGGACTGGCCACCACCGGACTGGCCTCCACCGGACTTGTTCCGCTCAAAACATTTTCTTGAAGAATTTTTGAGCGAGGTCTTTACGGTTAATCCTAACCTCTTCCTCCGACTCGCTGTCGTCACTGTGTGGTGGCCAGAAGTCTTCTTCTTCATCCTGTAAGAAAGTGCCATGATGGCCACTGTCGGAGAACTGAAGTGGAGGAGGTGGAAGTGGAGGGGTAGGCGCCTTTAGCACCAATGCTTGAGGTGGAGGGGTAGGAACTTTTGCTGTCTGTGCTGGGCGTGGGGGTGGAGGTGGAGGGGTAGGAACTTTTGCTGTCTGTGCTGGGTGTGGGGGTGGAGGTGGAGGGGTAGGAACTTTTGCTGTCTTTGCTGGGCGTGGGGGTGGAGGTGGAGGAATTTTATATGTTTGTGGTATGGGTGGGGATGGAAGTGGAAGAGGAGGGTCAGGACTATTTGATACCGAGGGAAGGGGTGGGGATGGAGGAATAGGAATTCCTGGTACCCTGGGTGGTACCACAGGAATTCCTATTACATTGGAATTGTAGGGTGGGATACACTTGAAATAGAACACAGCCACAGCGCCAATCACAGCTACTATGGATATCCATAGAAACTTTTTCCACTTCCTCTCTTTGCCTCGGCAATGTGAGCCACGTTCAGTAACCTGTGAACGACGCTCAGAAAATAGCGAACGTTGCTCACAGAACTGATCTTTATTATCCTGGTCGTCAGTGAAATTGTCATAGAACTCCGTTCCCTGAGCATAGAAGTCTTCACCGCGATCAGTAAACTCATCACCGGGATACTCGGTGACAGTGTTGAAGAACGAAGAGCCTCTCTCCAAGAACTTGGCGCCGCTGTCAGACAGCTTACGGCTTCTGTAATGGGAGAGAACTCCTTGGCTCTGAGCGCCTCTACTACAACACTGAGCGCAGGTATTAAAGTATACCGCGCCTCGGTGGAAGAACTCGGCCAGAGTGACGGAAGCCGTGTCGCCGGGAGAGAAGGAGGCCAGTGTTAAGTAGAGGTTCATGAACCAAAGTTGAGCACACTGCTCTGAGGTCGAGCAGAAGACCCACAGGGATGACCACAGTGAGGAGAGCAAGGTACTCCACACGGTTCTCCACATGTTGGACACGGTGGGCCACACGGTACTCCGTACGGTGGACAACACGGTGGACCACATGGTACTCCACGCGGTGGACACGGTGGGCCACACGGTACTCCGCGCGGTGGACAACACGGTGGACCACATGGTACTCCACGCGGTGGACACGGTGGGCCACACGGTACTCCGTGCGGTGGACAACACGGTGGACCACATGGTACTCCACGCGGTGGACACGGTGGGCCACACGGTACTCCGTGCGGTGGACAACACGGTGGACCACATGGTACTCCACGCGGTGCACACGGTGGGCCACACGGTACTCCGTGCGGTGGACAACACGGTGGACCACATGGTACTCCACGCGGTGGACACGGTGGGCCACACGGTACTCCACGCGGTGGACACGGTGGGCCACACGGTGGAAAACTACCCAGTGCGGTGGACACAGGTGGGCCACACTGGTAACCCACGCCAAGGTGGACACGGTGGCCCACACGCCCAGAAACCTGGCGCCCAGAGTTCCGGCGCCTAGACATCCGGCGCCCAGAACCCACACTGTCCAGAACCCAGCGCCCACCCCGGCGCCCAGAGTTCCGGCGCCCAGAGTTCCGGCGCCCAGAGTTCCGGCGCCCAGAGTTCCGGCGTCCAGAGTTCCGGCGTCCAGAGTTCCGGCCCAGAGTTCCGGCGCCCAGAGTTCCGGCGGAGTTCCGGCGCCCGTGAGTGTCCAGAACCCCGGCGCCCGGTGCCCCGGTGTCCAGAACCCCGGCGCCCAGTACCCCGGCGCCCAGAGTTCCGGCGCCCAGAGTTCCGGCGCCCAGAGTTCCGGCGCCCAGAGTTCCGGCGCCCAGAGTTCCGGCGCCCAGAGTTCCGGCGCCCAGAGTTCCGGCGCCCAGAGTTCCGGCGCCCAGAGTTCCGGCGTCCAGAGTTCCGGCGTCCAGAGTTCCGGCGCCCAGAGTTCCGGCGCCCAGAGTTCCGGCGCCCAGAGTTCCGGCGCCCGGTGCCCCGGTGTCCAGAACCCCGGCGCCCGGTGCCCCGGTGTCCAGAACCCCGGCGCCCAGTACCCCGGCGCCCAGAGTTCCGGCGCCCGGAGCAGGAGACTGGTGGAGGTGGTGCTCCAGTTCTGATCCCTTCATCTCCTCAGCCGTCATCTGTGTTGCCATCTACAAACTAAGTCAACTATGGCTGTCTTGTTAAATAATTTTACTTTACAATAAAAAACAAAAAACTGGTTTACGGTAGTTAAAGGAGATGTGAGGATAAGAACATGCTTAGTGCCGTCCAGGGCTCGTGTGCTCCTGCTACTATACTTCTTAGTGTTGCTGCAGCTGGCTTATTGTGTTGCTGGAGCTGGCTTATTGTGTTGCTGGAGCTGGATTATTGTGTAGCTGCAAGTGGCTTATTTTGATGCTGAAGGTGGCTTATTGTGTTGCTGCAGCTGGTTTACTGTTTTGCTTGGCTGGAGCTGGCTTATTGTGTTGCTGCATTGTATTGCTGCAGCTGGCTTAATTGTGTTGCTGCAGCTGGCTTATTGTGTTGCTGTAGGTGTCTTAGTGTGTTGCTGGAGCTGGCTTATTGTGTTGCTGCAGCTGGCTTATTGTGTTGCTGCAGCTGGCTTATTGTGTTGCTGGAGCTGGCTTATTGTGTTGCTGGAGCTGGCTTATTGTGTTGCTGGAGCTGGCTTATTGTGTTGCTGGAGCTGGCTTATTGTGTTGCTGTAGGTGTCTTAGTGTGTTGCTGCAGCTGGCTTATTGTGTTGCTGTCAGCTGGCTTATTGTGTTGCTGCAGCTGGCTTATTGTGTTTGCTGATGAGCTGGCTTATTGTGTTGCTGCAGCTGGCTTATTGTGTTGCTGCAGCTGGCTTATTGTGTTGTTGCTAAGTGTGTTCCTGCAGCTGGCTTATTGTGTTGCTGCAGCTGGCTTATTGTTTGTTGCTGTAGGTGTCTTAGTGTGTTGCTGCAGGTGGCTTATTGTGTTGCTGCAAGTGGCTTATTGTGTTGCTGCAGGTGTCTTATTGTGTTGCTGCAGCTGGCTTATTGTGTTGCTGCAGCTGGCTTATTGTGTTGCTGCAGGTGTCTTAGTGTGTTGCTGCAGGTGTCTTAGTGCGTTGCTGCAGGTGGCTTATTGTGTTGCTGCAGGTGGCTTATTGTGTTGCTGCAGCTGGCTTATTGTGTTGCTGCAGCTGGCTTATTGTGTTGCTGTAGCTAGCTTATTGTGTTACTGCAGCTGGCGTATTGTGTTGCTGCAGGTGTCTTATTGTGTTGCTGCAGCTCGCTTATTGTGTTGATGCAGGTGGCTTATTGTGTTGCTGCAGGTGGCTTATTGTGTTGATGCAGCTGGCTTATTGTGTTGCTGCAGCTGGCTTATTGCGTTGATGCAGGCGGCGTATTGAATTGATGTAAATGGCTTATTGTGTTGCTGCAGCTAGTTTATTGTGTTGCTGCAGGTGGCTTATTGTGTTGCTGCAGCTGGCTTATTGGGTTGATGCAGGTGGCTTATTGTGTTGCTGCAGCTGGCTTATTGTGTTGATGTAGGCGGCTCATTGTCTTGCTGCAGCTGGATTATTGTGTAGCTGCAAGTGGCTTATTTTGATGCTGAAGGTGGCTTATTGTGTTGCTGCAGCTGGTATATTGTGTTGCTGCAGCTGGCCTATTATATTGCTGGAGGTGGCTTATTGTGATGCTGCAGCTGGACTATTATATTGCTGCAAATGGCTTATTGTGTTGCTGTAGCTGGCCTATTGTGTTGCTGCTGGTGGCTTATTGTATTGTTGCAGCTAGCTTATTGTGTTTAAGCAGGTGGCTCATTGTGTTGCTGCAGGTGGCTCATTGTGTTGCTGAAGCTGGCTTAATGTGTTGCTGCAGGTGGCGTAGTGTGTGTTGATGCTGCTCGCCTATTGTGTTGCTGCAACTGGCTTATTGTGTTGCTACAATTGGCTTTGTGTATTGCTGTAGCTGGGTTTTTGTGTATTGCTGTAGCTGGGTTTTTGTGTTGCTGAATCTTGCTTATTGTGTTGCTGCAAAGTGGCGTATTGTGTTGCTGCAGGTTGCTTAGTGTGTTGCTGTAGCTGGCTTAGTGTGTTGCTGCAGCTGGTTGGTTTGTTGCTGTAGCTAGCTTAGTGTGCTGCTACAGCTGGCTTAGTGTGTTGCTGCAGGTGTCTTATTGTGTTGCTGCTGGAGGCTATTTGTGTTCCTGCAGCTGGTTTATTGTGTTGCTGCAGCTGGCTTATTGTGTTGATGCAGGCTGCTCATTGTGTTGCTGCAGGTAGATTATTGCGTTGCTGCAACTGACTTGTTGTGTTGCTGCAGGATGCTTATTGTGTTGCTGCAGGATGCTTATTGTGTTGCTGCAGGATGCTTATTGTGTTGCTGCAGGATGCTTATTGTGTTGCTGCAGGATGCTTATTGTGTTGCTGCAGGATGCTTATTGTGTTGCTGCAGGATGCTTATTGTGTTGCTGCAGATGATGGCTTATTGTGTTGCTGCAGGATGCTTATTGTGTTGCTGCAGGAGGCTTATTGTGTTGCTGCAGGATGCTTATTGTGTTGCTGCAGGAGGCTTATTGTGTTGCTGCAGGAGGCTTATTGTGGTGCTGCTGGTGGCCTATTGGGTGTATGTAGGTGGCTTATTGTGTTGCTGAAGCTGGTATATTGTGTTGCGGCAGCTGGTATATTGTGTTGCTGCAGTTGGTATATTGTGTTGCTGTAGCTGGCCTATTATATAACTGGAGGTGGCTTATTGTGATGCTGCAGCTGGACTATTATATTGCTGCAAATGGCTTATTGTGTTGCTGTAGCTGGCCTATTGTGTTGCTGCAGGTGGCTTATTATGTTACTGCTGGTGGCTTATTGTGTTGTTTCAGCTAGCTTATTGTTTTTAAGGAGGTGGCTTATTGTGTTGCTGTAGCTTGCTTAGTGTGCTGCTACAGCTGGCTTAGTGCTTTGCTGCAGGAGGCTTTTTATGTTGCTGCAGCTGGTTTACTGTGTTGCTGAAGCTGGTTCATTGTGTTGCTGCAGCTGGATTATTGTGTTGCTGCAATTGACTTATTTTGTTGCTGCAGCTTTTTTATTGTGTTTCTGCAGGAGACTTATTGTGTTACTGCAGCTGGCTAATTGTGTTGATGCAGGCTGCTCATTGTGTTGCTGCTGCTGGCTAATTGTGTTGAGGCAGGCTGCTCATTGTGTTGCTGCAGCTGGATTATTGTGTTTTTGCAAGTGGCTTATTATGTTGCTGCTGGTGGCTTATTGTGTTGTTGCAATTGTCTTTGTATATTGCTGTAGTTGGATTTTAGTGTTGCTCAATCTGGCTTATTGTGTTGCTGCAAGGTGGCTTATTGTGTTGCTGCTTAGTGTGTTGCTGTAGCATGCTTAGTGTGTTGATGTAGCTTGCTTAGTGTGTTGCTGCACCTGGTTTAGGGTGTTGCTGTAGCATGCTTAGTGTGTTGATGTAGCTTGCTTAGTGTGTTGCTGCACCTGGTTTAGGGTGTTGCTGCAAGGTGGCTTAGTGTGCTGCTGTAGCTTTTATTTTTTTTTTCTACCACAGACGTGGCCACACATTTACAATGCTAACCAGCATATATACATTTTCTTCTGTCCTCCATGGACAGGGTTAGAGATGTGTTAAACATATAGTTCAAGGGTTTATTGAACAATCAACCACAGAAGGTGATTCGGTGCTTTTAAAATGCTAAGCTAACCTACATACGTAAATACATAGATACACATATTTACGTATGCCCTACATAAAGTGTTTGATGTGTCTTTTACATAGCGTCATTAATGTACATTCACAAAGGTGAAATGTAATTCAGATCAGCTCCCATATATACTTTATACCCATACATATACATACACACACACATATATACATACATATATACACACACACATGCATTCACATACATTTGTCTCCTTTACTCTGACAGGGTGAGATAGCTGATAAAGAAACTAGTGTGCAATTAAGCACTTAATCACTGAAGGTGATGAAGGTGCTTTTACAAGCTCAGGTTATATATGCTGTAGCTTGCTTACTGTTTTGCTGTAGGTGGCTTAGTATGTTGCTGCAGGTGGCTTAGTGTGTTGTTGCAGGTGGCTTAGTGTGTTGCTGAAGGTGGCTTAGTGTGTTGTTGAAGCTTGCTTAGTGTGTTGCTGCAGCTGGCTTAGTGTGTTGCTGCAGGTGGCATAGTGTGTTGCTGCAGGTGGCATAGTGTGTTGCTGCAGGTGGCATAGTGTGTTGCTGCAGGGGGCTTAGTGTGTTGCTGCAAGTGGCTTAGTGTGTTGCTACAGGTGGCTTAGTGTGTTGCTACAGGTGGCTTAGTGTGTTGCTTCAGGTGGCTTAGTGTGTTGCTGCAGGTGGCTTAGTGTGTTGCTACAGGTGGCTTAGCGTGTTGCTGCAGCTGGCTTAGCGTGTTGCTGCAGCTGGCTTAGCGTGTTGCTGCAGCTGGCTTCAGGAAGAACTGTGGTGGGTAGTAAAGGTACAAGGGGCCTGAGACGTCACAATCGTGACGTTACTAATTCCTAATATTTCATTATTTTATTATTCCAAATAAATTCCTAAGATTCCTCATTGTTACAGTGATGAAGACACTGTAGTGAAGATGGTTACTGTGATGAAGACACTGTAGTGAAGATGGTTACTGTGATGAAGACACTGTAGTGAAGATGGTTACTGTGATGAAGACACTGTAGTGAAGATGGTTACAGTGATGAAGACACTGTAGTGAAGATGGTTACAGTGATGAAGACACTGTAGTGAAGATGGTTACTGTGATGAAAACACTGTAGTGAAGATGGTTACGGTGATGAAGACACTGTAGTGAAGATGGTTACAGTGATGAAGACACTGTAGTGAAGATGGTTACTGTGATGAAGACACTGTAGTGAAGATGGTTACTGTGATGAAGACACTGTAGTGAAGATGGTTACTGTGATGAGGACACTGTAGTGAAGATGGTTACAGTGATGAAGACACTGTAGTGAAGATGGTTACTGTGATGAAGACACTGTAGTGAAGATGGTTACTGTGATGAAGACACTGTAGTGAAGATGGTTACAGTGATGAAGACACTGTAGTGAAGATGGTTACTGTGATGAAGACACTGTAGTGAAGATGGTTACAGTGATGAAGACACTGTAGTGAAGATGGTTACAGTGATGAAGACACTGTAGTGAAGATG